ATGCTCCTAGATAATTTATTAAATGACTTATCATGCCCTCATTCATTTGACATACTATGTTTATATCAAAAATTAAAAATTTATAACAGGAAAATATGTTTCCAAATGTTGTTTCATTCTAGTGATGCTTTTTTCTATATTCCTGTGGTGGTACTCCATTGTAATTCTAGTAGCTTTACAATAATACCTCTTAAGATCTCTAAGGAATATCTTTTCATTTTTAAAAATGACTGGGTATTCCCTCAGAGACAGTATACTGTATGTACTTTGTCTTCTAGGAAGAAATCTGACAGGATTCTGACCAAAGTTGGGCTAAATTCACAAATTTAGGCAAGAATTACTAATTTTGAATCTTCCTGTACGGCACGTCTCCTTTATTCAAGTCGTTCTTTTACATACCTTGTCCTGCCGATTATGTGTCTTCCTTGCAAAATATATTTCTGGGTATTCATTCTGGTTCCTATTGTAAGTACCTCCCCCCCCCCCCCCGCCAATTTTGTCTTCACTGGTTATTTCATTAGATTAGAAACATTTTGCTTTTGGCTGCCTTTTTCTTAGTTGTAATTGCTTTTAGTTGATTCTCCTGGGTTTTCACAGTGATCAGACAGGTTACCAACGGCGGCGAAGTAAGGCAAGGTACTCTGAAGGAAGGGGTTAGTGTATTACAGGAACACAAAACCTCACTTTGTTTGGCAGGTCAGACGAGGCCTTTTGAGGAAGCGTCATCTAAACACGTGTAAAGACTGCGGCAGAGTAGGAAGGGGAGCTTCCACACAGAGGGGCCAGGGCACCGATGGTCTGGAGGCACGGCGTGTAAGAACCACGAGCAGAGTGTGCAAAGATGGGTGGCAGGAGAGATGAAGAAGGCACTGGAGACCAGTAGAGGTGTTCGGGTCAAATGACGGGTCTAGGAGGGTGAGCACCTGAAGAGGTTTTTGAGCAGCGGTGAGACACGTTCCAATTTACAACTGCTTTGTAGAAAGTGGATTCGCGAGACAAGACTGGGGAAGAGTCTGGTTAGGAAGTTGCAGGAAGTTAGCTTCATTCGTGCTTATCCTGGACTCGGCTGTTATTGGTGTCATTCTTCTCCACTCCTCAGCGTCTCAGCGGGTTGAAAAATAAGTTTTATATTGGGAAACAAGGGATTTTGAATTTCAGATTGGCCACTAGTAGGCTACATATTGTTACCGCATGTCTTACAACTTTATAAAAAGCAAATTTGGACGTATTTCTCAGGTTTCCTATGTTATTCGAGATGAAGTAGAGAAGTACAATCGAAATGGAGTCAATGCCCTGCAGCTGGATCCAGCACTGAACAGACTTTTCACGGCCGGTCGAGACTCCATCATAAGAATATGGAGTGTCAATCAGCACAAGGTAAGGCAGGGGTTGAGTTTCACATTTCACATTTACTCAGTAAATTGTAGTCTGTCCAAGTGGCACCTTTCACAGTTTCAGACTTAATCTCTGAGCAGTGAGGTATTTGGTACACTACAACCAGAATTCTGTAAGCCTCTGAGAAAACACCCGTAGGAGAGTATTCAAAAGTGTTTTAGCTAAGGTGGGGACTCCATAAACTAGATGTGTGATAAGAGCTCTCTCCTACAAAAGAACAGAGAGATTTGTCTGGTAGGAGGATTACTGTCAACAATTTATTTTTCTGTTTTAAGTATGTTTCCCAAAAGCTTCTTGGCAACCCTTGTCAGTGCTTTAAAAAAAAAAAAAAAAAAGGTCGAATATGCTTTTACATTTAGAATTAATCTTGAACAAACATTTGGTTTCTTTATTTAAAAGTGAGTAGGGTACCCCCCAAAAAAATCAATAGGCCTCATTCGTTAATAGAAAGTTGATATAAAAGTATAAAGACAACATGTTCCACTTCTTCGGGAGATTGAAGGTCTGTTTTCTTAAACAGGGAACAGGACTTAAATCTACGTAAAGACAAATCCCCAGTCAGATGGAAAGGAACTGTTCCTGTATTTTGTTTGAATGCATGTATTGTCAATGACATAGAAAGGAAGATTCAGGAAAGGAGAAGGAGCATTTAGAGCCCCTAGCCAGGTACCAGACAGTCTTAGCGCTTTCCTATCCAGTGTGGTTTTAACTCTCACATCAACCTTCAGGGCAGCTGTTACGATTCATTTTCATCGCTGGGAAGATAGGCTCAGAGAAGCCCATGCTTAAATAGCTAGTAGGTGACAGAGAATTAGAGCACAGTTTAACCTCAGAACCCTGGTGCTTGACCTTGTGCTTTTAAAAGTCCGTGTCTCTCTAGCAAGCTTTGCAAGTCTGATGTGCAGTCTGAAAAAGAGCCACTGCTTTGCACGGTTGCTGGATAATGTTTCTTTAAGTGGACTTTGGTCCTGTGGGTTTTGAATTTTGTGACCAACGGAAACAGTGGTGGCCCGGTGTCAGAAACATAGAAACTAAGAAAATAGGACTTTGAAATGCTTTTTGGAACTCACATTTGAATTGGAATGTCTCCATTCTGGGAACTTACAGTATTTCAGGCAAATTATGGAAAACACTCACAAGAGTTTAAGCCTGGAAGAATAAATATTGTTAAAATGTCAATACTACCCAAAGCTATCTACACGTTCAATGCAATCCCAATCAAAATTGCACCAGCATTCTTCTCGAAGCTAGAACAAGCAATCCTAAAATTTGTATGGAACCACAAAAGACCCCGAATAGCCAAAGTAATTTTGAAGAAGAAGACCAAAGCAGGAGGCATCACAATCCCAGACTTTAGCCTCTACTACAAAGCTGTCATCATCAAGACAGCATGGTATTGGCACGAAAACAGACACATAGACCAATGGAATAGAATAGAAACCCCAGAACTAGACCCACAAATGTATGGCCAACTAATCTTTGATGAAGCAGGAAAGAATATCCAATGGAAAAAAGACAGTCTCTTTAACAAATGGTGCTGGGAGAACTGGACAGCAACATGCAGAAGGATGAAACTAGACCACTTTCTTACATCACAAAATAAACTCAAAATGGATAAAGGACCACTTTCTTACATCACAAAAATAAACTCAAAATGGATAAAGGACCTGAATGTGAGACAGGAGACCATCAAAATCCTAGAGGAGAAAGCAGGAAAAAACCTCTCTGACCTCAGCCACAGCAATTTCTTACTTGACACATCCCCAAAGGCAAGGGAATTAAAAGCAAAAATGAACTATTGGGACCTCATGAAGATAAAAAGCTTCGGCACTGCCAAGGAAACAATCAACAAAACTAAAAGGCAGCCGATGGATTGGGAAAAGATATTTGCAAATGACATATAGGACAAAGGGCTAGTATCCAAAAATCTATAAAGAGCTCACCAAACTCCACACCTGAAAAACAAATAATCCAGTGAAGAAATGGGCAGAAAACATGAATAGACACTTCCCTAAAGAAGACATCCGGATGGCCAACAGGCACATGAAAAGATGCTCAATGTCGCTCCTCATCAGGGAAATATAAATCAGAACCACACTCAGATACCGCCTCACGCCAGAGTGGCTAAAATGAACAAATCAGGAGACTATAGATGCTGGCGAGGATGTGGAGAAACCAGAACCCTCTTGCATCATTAGTGGGAATGCAAACTGGTGCAGCTGCTCTGGAAAACAGTGTGGAGGTTCCTCAAAAAATTAAAAATAGATCTACCCTATGACCCAGCAATAGCACTGCTAGGAATTTACCCAAGGGATACAGGAGTGCTGATGCATAGGGGCACTTGTACCCCAATGTTTATAGCAGCACTTTCAACAATAGCCAAATGATGGAAAGAGCCTAAATGTCCATCAACTGACGAATGGATAAAGAAGATGTGGTTTATATACACAATGGAATACTACATGGCAATGAGAAAGAATGAAATATGGCCTTTTGTAGCAACGTGGATGGAACTGGAGAGTGTTATGCTAAGTGAATTAAGTCAGAGAGAGAAAGACAGATACCATATCTTTTCACTCTTATGTGGATCCTGAGAAACTTAACAGAAGACCATGGGGGGCGGGGAAGGAAAAAAAAACAGAGGGGGAGGGAGCCAAAACATAAGAGACTCTTAAAAACTGAGAACTGAGGGTTGATGGGGGGTGGGAGGGAGGGGAGGGGAGGGTGGGTGATGGGTACTGAGGAGGGCACCTGTTGGGATGAGCCCTGGGTGTTGTATGGAAGCCAATTTGACAATAAATTTCATATTAAAAAAAAAAAAGTTTAAGCCTGAAAGAATCTAGAAAACCTACCCATCCTGCCCTTAGACATCTTTTTTCCGGTCTTCATTTTACAGCGAGACTGAGTAGCATCACTTGTCAGATAGACTTGTAGAGAACTGTTCTCTTCCCCCTTGAAGTGTTGGGTGTAGCATGTAATGAAATACTGTTCTTTAACTCCTGGTAATTAAGCCAAGAGAGAGGAGTGGAAGAATCTCAAGTTACTGAACTGATACAGTAGCATGGGGAATACTCTTATAGCCTTCTGAAGGACTGTAGATACCATGAGGAAGACGTTAATTCAGAAAGTCAAAACGGTAGGGGGTTAGGCTGGGCTCCTCTCCGCTTTCATCAGCCTCATTTTCATATCTGTGTCTGTGGTGAGCCTTCACCACCACTGATTCAGACGCCGCCAGCCTGCCGATCTGCTCACGTCCTGTCCTAGGAAACCCCTGCCTGCAGCGCTCTGTGTCACGTGCGGTGCCTAGCCCAGATCTTGTTGCCTTCACTCACTCGAGGTGTAAAAAGTAAGCATTTGCCCTAGGAACCCAGGCTTTCGTCAGTAATAAAACTCCTGAAACAAAACTTCTATTCACATCTGTAATACAGAAGCATCAACTGTTTGATGAAATTGTACTCTGAATTCAGTTGTCAATTTTACGACCCGAGAGTAACGGGTCACATTAATTGAAGAATGCAAACATATCTATAATTTATAATATATATTTTGTCCTCTAATGTAAACTAGTGACGTTCTCACAATTTTTCTTTTTATTTTAGCAAGACCCATATATAGCATCTATGGAACACCATACCGATTGGGTAAACGACATTGTGCTTTGTTGTAATGGGAAAACATGTAAGTACTTCTTTAGATTATTGGGTTTCTGGGAGTTTTTCACTCAACTTGGTATGTTTTTTTATTTTTCATGTGCCTTTTTAATTGAAGTCTGACATACGTGCAGAAAAGCACACACCTTGAGAATACAGCTCAGTAAAATTTCATAAGGTGAATACCCCTGTGTCTAGGTACAGATTACCAAAATCCCCCTTGGACCACCCTTTCAGTCACTCCCTCATGCCCCAAGATAACTGCTCTCCTGTCTGCTAAACACTATAAATTAGTTTTGCCTACATTCAAGCTATATATATGTAGACAGATTCATACAATATGTAGTCTTCTGTTAGCCTTATTAATGTCTCTTTTTGTTCTTATTATGGTAAGATCCATTTCTTAGTTTTGCAGTCTGTGTTAGAAAAATTTTTTTCAATCAAATTAGTTGTGTCTTCAACTGGAACATTAAAAAACTTTGCCCTGCATATTTAAAAACATGTTTCAAAAATAGGTTCTAGGAAGAGCTTTTAGATGTGTGTGTGTGTGTGTGTGTGTATGTGTGTGTAAACATTAACAGATACTGGAATTAATGTTACAAATACTGTAAATATTCAAGTATATGTGTGTGTCTATGAATGTCAGTTTGAAAGCATGTTACATTGTTAAGAGTCCTTAAAATGATGAAAAGTCTTACTAAGGGGTTCGTTTATTCTTTGCCTCTTCTAGTAATATCTGCTTCTTCTGACACAACAGTGAAAGTGTGGAATGCACATAAGGGATTTTGCATGTCAACACTAAGGACACATAAGGTAAAACGACAAACAATTTTCAGCGTCTTTAGTGTAACGTTGAGATCTCAGTACTTTCTGTGACTCCTTTTCTTACCGATCTAGCAGATCATCGTGCGTGTGTTCTGTTACAGGATTATGTAAAGGCCTTAGCCTATGCCAAGGATAAAGAACTGGTAGCTTCAGCTGGGTTGGACAGACAGATATTCCTTTGGGATGTGAATACCTTAACAGCATTGACTGCCTCAAACAACACTGTCACAAGTAAGGTGTTTGAAAAAAATTTCTTTGGAAGTGATTCAAGGTGACATAAAGAAAGAATGGTTGATGAAACATCTTGGATAGGTTTGCATCGAGACAGTGGTTCATATTTTGAGATTGCTTCTACCTACAGCGTTCTAGCCCCCAAGAGTATGATTGAACAACAAGGAGCTAGTTCCTCACTGCAGTCTAAAAATGGTAACTTCTCCAGGTGTAACCTGACTATTTTTGTACATGTGCATGTCTTAGCTCCCTAGCTGAAGTGTAAGTTCCTGCAGGGCAAAAGAGTCTGTCTTATTACCACTTTGTACCTCCCGTAGCATTGCCTGGTCCAGGGTCACAATCTCAGCAGACACTGTTGATGGAGGTGGTGATTACTTGACAAAGCAGGCAGTTTCTGACTCTTAAAAGTGTTACTATGAGCCCTTGAGTTAATGGCCAACATGGAAAATACACAAAGAAAGAAAAGGCTCCCTGCACTGATTTTGCAGGACCCTTTCAGAGCCACCCTAAAGAATCCAGCCAATTTCAGAAGAGATCAGGAGAGGCTAGGGTGCCTCCAGAGGCAATTCAGAAACATTCACAACACGTTAATTGCACAGATGCCTCATCAGCTAAGAGATCTGAGATTACCAGGTCAGACCCATAGGAGTCTAAATTTGACACTGAGCCTCACGCTTGAGCCAGCTCACTAGCGTCCTCTAGGCCAGGTGTCAGAGGGCTTTTAGGAGCACATTTGTGGCTAAGGCTGGCCTGGCAGGTCTGTGTTCAGGATATAGGCCTGAACTATCTAGATCTCTACATACAGGTCCAGCTTTTCATGACTGTGGAATACTCACATTGACATAGCTAAAACAGGCCTAATATAATCTAGGATGTGCCAGGAAGGGCAGGTTGGGAGACTGATGTTTATAATTTCTTGAATATTGTTCCCACCCTTTTCCCTAGGAAGTATGCAGAGCTCTAAACACTACTCGCCCCTTGATCTCCTTGATTTTTCACCAGGGCATTACTGTAGTGATCCAGCAGCTGATCTCTGCTGGGGGCTGTCATGACACATTATTTAGCTCTCTAGATGTAGGGCCTGCCCCAAAGAAACACTAACAAGAGGGAACAAAGCAGAAGAAGGCAGGATTGTCCCCAGGTCAGAGACCGGGCTTAGGGTTACAGATTCTGCAACAGATACATCTTGCTTAGAATCATTTAGAGAGGGTATCACACAAGCTGATTTATGATTATAGAAGTACTAATAGCTAACAGTTACTGAGCACTTACTACATAACCTGTTACTTTTCTAAATACGTATATTAACTCCTTTACTCGTAACTTGTCAGTATTTTTGCTTATATTTATTCTTTATTGAAAATTAGGATGATACTGTATAGACAGTTTATATGTAGCTTCCTTCAATTCAGTGAAACTGAGTTCTGAATTGTAGAGCATGAACATGATTCTCACTAAACATTGCCTAATATCCTTCCAAGAGTTGTACCAAACAAGTTGTACTTATCCCACAAGTAATGTATGAGAGTACCATTGTACTGTTTTCTGAGAATTAATTATTGCCTCATTGAAAATCTGATTTGATAGGTGAAAATAATATTTTTTGTTTTGGATTGTGTTTCCTTGAAAACGGTGAGTTTGGATATGTTGTTCATATTTATTGGCACGAGTATATCTTTGAAAATACATTACTTATGTGGATAGTTTTTAAATGGCAGTGCAGTTCAATTTAGCAAATATTTATTGAGCACTTTTGTGTCTCAAATCTAGACAAGATGTAAATTTTGATAACAGTATTGTTGTTTAGAATGATCTCCCTCATAGCAAGATTTCTTTTCCTTAGAACACTCACAAAGATTTTCTAAGCCAAATAATTAAACTTAAATTTTTGCTGGCTAACTGCTGAACAGATAATGATTTTGTTAACATTTGGCTTTGTTTATCCTTAATAGCCTCTTCTTTAAGCGGGAACAAAGATTCCATTTATAGCCTGGCAATGAATCAACTGGGAACAATCATTGTATCAGGGTCCACTGAGAAGGTAAGGAGGCGCTAACGGGTATATTTTAACACCGGAAAACAGAGACACCAAAATAATTCGATCCGTATAATTACTAAATACACAGACAGAGATTTTGTTAAGGGAAAGGTTTTATTTGAACAAATAAGAATATAACTATATAATTACTGTCGTTTGTGGTGACGGGGGTGGGCTGAATGGGTGGGGGAGGCCTATTCACGTTTTGACGTTAGAAGGGGTTCCTCCTACTTGAAAAGATCGGGAGCCTCAGTCGGTGCCCATTGGCAAAACAGTATTTCCTTCACAGTGTAATGGTTGTCATTTGACCTCTCGGTCATTTATTATTGAAATTTGTTCAGGTGTGTGTTCAGTTGATGTAACATTTTGTTAAAATACACAGGTTTTAAGGGTATGGGATCCAAGAACATGTGCGAAACTAATGAAGCTGAAAGGGCACACAGACAATGTCAAAGCACTGCTGTTGAACAGGGATGGTACACAGGTACGTACTTGCACGTGAATGTTTACCTAGTGACCTTGTCTCAAATTTCATGCACCAGAAACTTCTGAAGAGTGGTCTACTTTCCAATCCTTAAAATACCCCAGTTGCACCTAATAGTAATCCACATTTTGAAATTAATTCTGTTTGCCTCACTTACATAGAGACCAAACAAGAGGTTCCCTCAGAATAACTCTAATGCCAATGACTAGATGCAGTTACGATGGGTATAGGATAAAATAATTTATTTTTTAATGTTTATTTTTGAGAGAGAGACACAGAGTGTGAGCGGGCGAGGGGTAGAGAGAGAGGGAGACACAGAATCCGAAGCAGGCTCCAGGCTCCGAGCTGTCAGCACAGAGCCCGATGCGGGGCCCGAACCCACGAACCAGGAGATCATGCCCCGAGCCCAAGTCGGACGCTTAACCAACTGAGCCACCCAGGTGCCCTTAGGATAAGATAATTTAAAATGTTACTTTGTGTAAAGCAGAAGGAAGTTTTGCTATTGAACGCTTTCTGCTAGTGAAAATTTCCTAACAGTGGGTCTGACTTTGGGCCAAATCCTGTCATTTGACTCTGTAGATACAGTCTGTAAGTTTAGACATCTGACATAATACTTACAAACATTTTGGTAATGTTTGAACACGTACTGGTACCCTAGTACTTTGTTGGGTACATAATTTGTGGATTATAAATCACAATTCAGTTTGTTCTGTAGCAGTGGGAAAATGATCTTCCATCAATGTAGGTAATAAAAACAAAAACCGAGCACCGTTTGCAGTTAGGGCCTACTTCTGCCCGTGCCCCCGTCTCCCCAGCCATGTTTGCTCACGGGCCAGGGAGGAGCCCGGAGCTAGCTGGAATTGATTGTGAGTGGGTTAGGAAAAGCAGAGTGGGGAGGTGGCACGGTGAGAAGCGCCATCGGTCTGTCACTCCTGTGGGAATTTCGTCATGCAAGTTGCCTCCCATGTGAATTAGAGGAGCCTTTGTCTCCGGAGGTGAGAGGAAATCATCCTTCAGAACCAGGCAAAGAGAAGTTAGACGATGCCCACGGAGGTCTTTGGAGCTACATCCCAGTGTTCATGTACTTATTGTGTGGCCTCGAGGAGAGGACTTCACTTTCCTAGTCCTTGGTTTGCTCATCTGCAAAGTGGGGATCATAATGTCGGTAAGGTTAGAAGTAGTAAGTATATTCTTCTCTGTGAGCTGTGGCATTTTCTAGAGCTCTTGAGTTCCTTTGCAGCCCCGTTTTCATGGGAGTCTGAGAAGCCCGGTTCAGTCCGCTCCTCACTGTTTTTGCAGTGTAGCTGCTGAGCTCCACGTGGGATGGCTGACCCTGCCTTGTTCTGTTGGCTTTGTTCAGGATTTGACTGGGTCACGTGGTCTTTGTGCAACTGCCCCGAAACGGGATGTGGATAAGACGGTTTTCGGAAGGGGCCTGTGGGCTGGGCAGATTTTCTAAAGCTCCTCTTGCCCTTATACTCCTTGCTTTGTCTCCTGTGTGTACAGATAGGAGTGTGCTTTTACCTAAGGCAATTTAGCACACGTGGTTATAGACGCACTTCTGTGAAGTCAGCTCCACGGTCTGCGCAGAGCACAGACCGCTTGAAAGGCTGCCGTCAGCCCTGGGGTGCGTAATCAGGCAGAGACTCCTTCTCCCTTTCCTCCTCCATCCATTGTCCTTACTGGCAGCTGGAGGCTAAATGTAAATTTAACCACCAACTGCACAACATGTTAACATTAGGGAATCTGATCAACATAACAGCAATGCTAACTAGTTGTTTGGGTAAAAGAGAGGAAGGAAAAAGAAACCTTGGCATACTGATTCTCAAACTCTTGTAATATATGAGAGAAACAGTTAACAATTACCGGGCCAGAGTATGTACTGTATCCTGCGGAGTTGCCCTGTAAGCTTCTAACACAGGATCTCTGGTGTCGTTGTAAGTCAGGACTAGTGATAAGATAACATATAAGGGTCACCTGTGTGGCTCAGTGGTTCAGCTTGAGTCATGATCTTGTAGTTCGTGGGTTCTAGCCCCACACTGGGCTCAGCCCTGACAGTGCAGTCGGCTTCAGATTCTCTGTCTCCCTCTTTCTGCCTCTCTCTCAAAAATAATAAGCATTAAAAAATAATGTGTGTGCGTGTGTGTGTGTGTAATAGGCCTGTGAATCCTGTGGACATCCTCTTCCTTTGTTGTTGTTATTGTTTAGCAAATCTTACTGTTTGAGGTCTGTCTCCACTGAGCTTGTTTTGATCGGTGCCAACATTACTGGGCCGAGCCACTGGACATCTCATCCCTTGTACTTGCTCAGGCAATTGCTTGAGGAGCTGGGACCATCTGCCATCTTAGTTTGAGTCAGTGACATCCTTATGTGTCCCTCAGGGTTTTCCTGGTAACCTAAGTACTGCGTAACCTTATCTTATGGGTCCAGGGGTCTTTAAGCATCAGGCTATTCCTTGCCAGCTTACCATGCCCACGTGGCTGCTATTGGGAGTTGAGTTATGTATGAGCGACCATCCCAGAAACACTCGTGTTGGTCAACAGCAGCCTGGCTTTGGTACACTGGCCCCTCTACTTTCTCGTTCAGGAGCACAGACCCCCCTGACCAGAGCTGTAGACTCTGTGCCCCTAAGTCTGATGTAGCAGAACCATTCAGGGCCTCCTGTCCTAGTCCCAAGAGCTACCTCCTAATGACAGGGTCTTCACGTGTATCTGCCGGAAGGGTGGAGATAGTTTGGTGCACGACTCTAGCTCCTGCAAGCTGTCAGGCACTAGAAGTCCTATAAAATAGGCACATCCTTCAACCACACTACCGACCACTACAAGGAAGTTCACCAACATTATACTTTAAAAGCAATCGTTGTCTACTTGGGGGCCTGCTTTTTAGCAGTCTCAGAATACAGTTACCATCAGAGATTATTTTGTCTTCCATATCAGGGTTGATACAGCTCTGTGTTCCCTCATTGGCTTTCAGCTCTACACTTTGGGTTTGCGAGTAACTGCAAGTTGCCCAGGCTCTGAGGACTTCCAGCCCATCACCTTAGGGTGGAGTTTCTCCTCCTCAAGTTGTCAGACTTACTCTCTGTAGGTACACGGCCTAGGATCTGAGGGATCAGAGATGTACTGACAGCTTCACCACCTCAGAGTAGCGTCTCTTCGTGGAAGGCGAGCCCTTCCTTGCCCTTCCTCCATTAGATTGTGTCGGTCCTCCTGCGCGCATGTTGGAGGTCTGCTTGTAACTTAGCTGGGACAGTTTCTTTGTTGGCTGGTCTCTCGGTTGCCTTGTAGACCAGTTGGAACAGGTGATTCAAACACGGATGCTCCCGGCCACTTATGGGGGAGTCTCCCGGTACGTGTTCATTTAGTTAACCTTGTCCAGAGTTCTAAAGGGTCTTTCCAGTCACGGGGCACACCGGTATATCTTTAACATTCCTGAAGGCCTCATCTATTCGGACACTTCCCAAATCTCTAAGCCCACAGCTACCTGCTCTAAGCTTTTGCCTACTTGATTTCATATGCCAGCACCAGCACTTGCTTCTCCTCGAGGCCATTTGTTCCCTCAGAGGAGTAAGGTTTATTCTCTTTGGCAAGTCACCATGGAAACTGGTAGCGAACACCAGGCATGTGGCTGATTCAGCCTCCTTCTGTCGGACTCACAGCGTGCTCGGCCCTAATTTGTGTGCCAGCAACTTCTACGCAGTTGATGCTCCGGAACCTTTAGAAAGCGTCAGAATTGCTAATGTTAACTCTGAGTGCTGGAGGTCCCCATTTTATATTAACAGACATTGAACTTGAGGCTCAGATGGGAAGTATCCAAGGTCACAGAGAGTGAGTGGTAAGCCTGGGACTAGGATTTGCTTCTGACTCCTATTAGTAGAATCTCAGAGACCTGGCAGGCCATCAGGAATCCATTGCCATGAGCAGGAGGATGAGACGGAGTGTGACCCCTAGCTCTAATAGGCTTGCTGGCCTAGTGCAAAGCTTGTCAATCGTAGAGTACCAGAATGACCTGGAGAGCCCATCAAAGCATGGATTGCTGGGCCCCACCACAGTTTCTGCCACATTAAGTCTGGAATCGGACCCAGGAATCTGCATTTTTAACAACTTCCCAGGGGATGCTAATTCTGCATATGGCCAGGCAAGAGAGGACCAAGGCAGTTTCTTCCCCCGGCTTGAGCAGGTACTGTTGCCTTCGGTCATGTGAGCCTGTGGTGCATGCTTATCAGAAGTCTTTATCAGAGGCAGAAATACAGGTTGTCAGACATGTGCGTTTGACAGTGTAGAGTCAACAAGGACAAACACCGGCTACAGAACACAGGAAAGCAGGAACCTTCTGGCCGGAACTTTTTCTAACGTTAACTTTCTCTGTTTTCAGTGCCTTTCGGGCAGTTCTGATGGGACAATTCGCCTTTGGTCCCTTGGCCAACAGAGATGTATAGCGACATACCGAGTCCATGATGAAGGCGTTTGGGCTCTGCAGGTCAATGACGCCTTCACACACGTGTATTCTGGTGGAAGGGACAGGAAGATTTACTGTACAGACCTAAGAAACCCTGACATTCGGGTACTAATTTGTGAAGAAAAAGCACCAGTTCTCAAGGTATGTCCTGTGTTTTAGTTTTGTGCCTAAGATTGTTACACGTGCTGGCCAAATCCAGCAAAATCTGTATTAGAACACAACTCACACAACTGTGGGGTGGTGAAAAAAAGATATTTTAAGTTTTATTAGTCATCTGTAGAAGAAATTGTGACTTTTTGGGTACGTTCGTGACACGTAGCTCTCCCACTGGTGAATCCTAGTGCGATTGCCCCACGTTGCTCCTGAGCTCCCCCGGCTTTCCTAACCTGTCCTAAGTGGAGGAATGTGACAAGTTCAGGTATCCGCGAGCAGACAGCAAAGCAGAAAGACCACTGCCTCAGAGGGAGGATGTGGAAGAATGCTTCGGAAGAAGAGAACGAGCCGGTTCATACTCCAAACCTGACGTTTCTACCTCACAGTCGTCCCGATTGCTGACCAACGTCCAGCGTGTTGGTGAAAGAGTACTTGGGAAGCCGTCCATACTGACACCTGCTAAAAGTGAAGCCTGGACTGCAGAATGGCCTGTCATCACATGACCGCGCGTTCGGCCTCACTGATCATCTCAGCATCGCACGTTAAAACCGTACTGAAGAGAACTCCAGGTTTAAAATGGAGGCATAAAGGCAGCACGACTTCCTTTTCACAACAGTCGTCCAAAAACAATCAGGAAAGCAAGAGACAAATTGCAGATACCCACAAAACTGAGCGACATCTGACACCCAGACCACAGTAGAAGAGGAAGAGCTGAAGCAAAGGAATAGAGGTCAAATGAGACAGTTGAGGGGATGCTTGTGGCCTATGAGCGCACACATGCTGGCCGAGTACAGCTCTTCAGAATAGGTGGTGCCCCCCCAGGGACACACCCAGTAATCCTAGAGAAGCAAGGGAGTTGCTGCAGTCAGAGCCTGTGTGCAGGAAGCAGGCTCCTGGGGGCAGACGGCAGGGAGGAGAAACACGGCGTTTTGCAGTGCCCGGGGAGAGGAAAGCCAAAAAGGACTTAGTGCCCACATAGCTGTGTGTTACAAGAAACGTCACTCTGAACTGAGGGGATTCCTTCTTGCGAGGAGTCCAGCCTGTCCCACAGCTCCCAACCTTCCGTTTCCTGGCACGGGAAGAATAGTGGTTGACTGACTACAGAGTGATTTTGTGTGCAGACTACGTACATGGGTGCAGGGATGTGTTTCTATACGTGTGCTATTTTAAAAATACAGAAGACGCAGTAAGCTATTCACAGGTGTACTATTCTTAGGTGGGGGGGGGAGGACTTACTTGCATACTTTTCACTTTTGCTGTATTCTCAGGATGCTTTTTTAGTACAAACATCTTCATAGAGAAAGATCTATTTCTTTATCATTAAGAAAGAATAGGGGCGCCAGGTCGGTTAAGCATCCAACTCTTGATCTCGGGTCAGGTCACGATCTCATGGTTCGTGAGTTTGAGCCCTACATCAGGCTCTGCACTGATGGCACGGAACCTGCTTGGGATTCTGTCTCTCCTTTTCTCTGCCCCTCCCCTCCGCCTTGTGTGCACACGCGTGCACGCTCTCTCTCAAAAAATAAAATAAACTTAAAAAAGAACAGAAAAACAAAAGAGCAAAAACAAAAATTATGTAAGTCATCCTTTTGACTGTACCTGTTTGGATCCCCTGATTAATTAATTAATTTAAAATCACACAGACTTTAAGCCACTGTTTTTGATGAGAAGTCACCCCTATTATACTTTTATGAGGCCACGCTTCCTTTAGCAAAGAGACTGCCTCGTTATTCTGTGCATCCCTAGCTTTTCTCCCTCTTTTTAAAAAATTTTTATTTGAGAGCAAGCAGGGGAGAGGGGCAGAGGGAGATAGAGAATCCCAAGCAGGCTCCACACTCAGCACAGAGCCTTCTGCGGGGCTCATTCCCATGAGCCTGGGACCACGACCTGAGCTGAAATCAAGTCAGACACTCAACTAACTGAGCCACCCAGGTGCCCCTGTGCATCCCTAGCTTTTTTTTTTTTTTTTCTCAATGTTTATTATTTTCATTTTTGAGAGCCAGAGAGGCATAAGAATGAGTCGGGGAAGGACAGAGAGAGAGAGGAGACACTTAGTTTGGAGCAGGCTCCTCGAAAGCTGTCAGCACAGAGCCCACACAAGTTGGGTTTGAACCCATGAACCATGTCACTTACTCCGAGCCGAGGTCAGACACTTGATTGACCGAGCCACCCAGGTGCCCCTGTGTATCCCTAGCTTTTTTTTTTTTTCTCAATGTTTATTATTTATTTTTGAGAGCGAGAGAGAGCATGAGTGGGGGGAAGGACAGAGAGAGAGGGAGACACAGAATTTGGAGCAGGCTCCAGGCTCCGAGCTGTCAGCACAGAACCCAACACAAGGTTTGAACCCACGAACCATAAGCTCACGACCTGAACCGAGGTCAGACACTTGACGGACTGAGCCACCCAGGCGCCCCATGCCCCCTAGCTTTTTAACGCATGCCAGGGTACCGTCAGCAGGAGTCGATATTTAATAATACATAGCTAGTCCCAGCGACTCAGGAGAGTCAGCACTCAAGAAAGCAATGTTTCTGTGCTTTGTTTTCAGATGGAGCTTGATAGGTCAGCTGATCCCCCTCCCGCAATCTGGGTTGCGACGACTAAGTCTACAGTAAATAAATGGGTAAGTGAGCTTCCATACACCTGGCAAAGGTGTGCAAACATGTGGTTTGTTATCACAGACCTGCCGGATACCAGTAACAAATGCGCAAGATGAAAAAGCCCAGCATGCTTTTGAACAGTGGCAAAAACATGAAAGCCTCTGTGAATCATCCTAAGGATTGTACTAAAATTAAGGTAAAAGTCAATATGAAGCTTCCGACTTCTTTGTCAGGAGCCAAGATGGACATTTGTTGTGCTTAGAATAGGCACCGTTGCCCGGTAAAACCAAAAAATATCAGTATAGCTTCTGACCTCACAGAACTGCATTTGAAGGCAGCCTGGGTACAGGTTTCCCCCACTGTCCAGAAGTTTGCTTTATACTACTTCACTTCTGCAAATTCCTGTGTTACCCAGTTTCTGTAACCAAAAGAAATCGGAAGAGGATTGTTGCTTTTATGAAATGGCGATTGCTTCCTTGTCTTTACAGTTTCGGCTAATGGAAGTTTCATATGAACGCTTTATTTTTGGAAAGCAGGGAATCCCTGTACCAACACGGCAGGGACACTTGGCTACGATTCTGTTTTTCTAAGCATAAGAGAATTAGAAAATGGTGCTTTCAAATTCATTTCCTTTTCCCTCATGGTTTGTAGAACAGGGATAGAATTAGAGGATACGCATAGAGAAGTCATCAAAAATACTACTAATCCTTAAGTGTTATTTAAAGAACATTTAAATTTTCTTGCTTATCAGATTATGTGTGGATAACAAAAGAGAGTGTGTTTACATTTATTTGTTGATATGCCAGTCAAGTGGGCTTTCTTGGTATGGTAAAAAATGTTATATATCTTGTCTAAATTTCATTGTCCCAATTTGAAATCAACAATAGCTTTACCTGGAAGATTGCTTATTTTTCTCTCCAAAAAGATAATGTTGACATTCCCTTCTTAATACTTTTTTTTTTTTTTAATCGTGGTAGGTAATTGTACTTTGTCACTAAATATTTTGTGGTTGACTTTACTGTTTTGTTTTTTCTTGTTCTTTGTTTTTCTTGCCACTTGAAACGGATTGGCAAATTATAAAGCGTAAAATGATTAAAAAATGAATTTTGTTCCTTTAGACCTTGAAGGGAATTCATAATTTCAGAGCCTCCGGAGATTATGACAATGACTGTACAAATCCTATAACACCACTTTGTACGCAGCCTGACCAGGTTATTAAAGGTGAGTAGGGAAGGTGGAAGGTACGATACTTTATACTAAGGTTAATTATAGTTACTAAGAGATAGACAAAAAGGAGATGACTTTCCTTTAAATGTAATTCTTCTGTCAACAAGAGACACAGTATATAGGTTTATTTTTAATAGAAGAAATATATTTTTTAAATGCTACTTAGTGTTGGGGTGCCTGGGTGGCTCAGTCGGTTAAATGTCTGACTTCATCTCAGGCCGTGAGTTCAAGCCCCGCATCAGGCTCTC